AAAAAAAAAAAAAAAAAAAAAAAAAAAAACATTTGAATTATTACTATGATTACCATTTTACTACTTATTTTGTACTTTTGAGAAATTTTACGATATTGTATCATATTGTCGTGTTTCCTATTAGCCATTCTGATTGGCATATATATTTTTTTCTGAACTAGATAATAAAATTATTAAAATTGTCTTTCAAAATCATAATAATTTGTTACAACTTATACTTACATGTAAAGTAGAATAACAAAATTTGAATATATAAGGAATCTTGTGGCATATTCTTTACCTGTTGTAAACATTTACACTGCTTGACAGAAGTCAAACGGGCTAACTCTAGCGGTTTCGGGCTAAACGGTCCGGGCTAAAAAAGCGCCGATTTAAACAACTACTAATAAATGACCCTAACCCTATTTTTTTTTGGTTAAACGGGCCGGCCCGTCGAGCCAAGGACAGTTTAAGGAATTTACCTTGTTTCTGGAATCTACAAGAAAGGTGGACGTTGGGATTGAAAATTCTACACAAGGCGCGGCCTCGAGTCATTTGGTTGCGGATGGAGGCTTGGCTCTGCATGTGCGAGTGATCGGAGGATCTCGGCGGCTACTCGCGATGAGGATTGGCCGAGGTTGTGAGTGGATGCTCACGGTTGATGTTGTTTGCGGGTGGTGAGGATTGCGGGCAGTTGAAAGCTACAACGCGTGCGGCGGGGCGCTGCTATGTTCGTGGTCGTGTTGCTGGAAAAGCCAAGAGGAAAAACGAGTACTAAGGGCAAATCTTGTGAGGTTTTTCATCAACAATAAAAGAAAAAAATGAGTGTACTTGCTCTTAAAAATGATGGTCAAAGGATGAAAACCATGTGGAATTATGAGAGGAAAAATGGAAAAATTATTAAGATAAACCAAAGGGATCAAAGTGATATTAATTGTCAATATTAAGATACATAATCTGCATTATGAGGGGGAGAGTGGCCGGTTACAAGGGCCATTGTGTGTTAGAAAAAATATAAAGAAAGTAGGGGGATGCTTCCACCCGCATGCCCACATGCCTACATGTTGCTTGGCCAAATGCCCTGGTTACTTGCCCACATGCAGCTTGCTTACGTGCAGCTGTAATGAATATAAAAAAAATAATAATAATAAAAAATAAAAAAAAAATAATTCCTCTACTATAAATAGCCCTTTCGGGCAGAAGGAAAAGTACACCGAAAAAGAAGAAAGAAAGAGAGAAGAAAGAAAGAGAGAGAGAGAATAAAAAAAAGATAGATTTATGTCCAAATATCGGATATAAAATATCAAAAGAAAAGAAACAAGTGATATTTTTATTTGTTTCAGAATATTCCTTTTATTTCTGAGTGCTCAATTCTTGATTTCGTTCTCATTCGCCGGAGCTCGTAAATCTGGTGTGCTACAGATTTTGAGACGTTTGTCGTTGTATCTTTGGGGAAGTTACGCCTGAACCGTTAGCAACACAGGGGGCATATTCTTCTTGCGGAAAGAGTTTTACTCGCCTCGGCTAAAATCTTTCCGTTTTACAGTTGTACTTTATTTTTTCAGTTCAGTTGTAATTTTCTATTTTTAGATTATTTTGTAAGAACTGAAAATTACATATCGGTTCGTAGGATTCCCGTGTAATTTCACCCCAAGGAACAAACAATCGCAAGAAGAATAACTTGTCCTACTGAATTGATGGCTTCCACCGGAGCAGGTTCCAGCTCTCAGCAGCCGATCAACAACTCTGTTCAGCATTATCATCTTGTACCTGTTGTTCAGGTCCCGACTGCTGAAAAACCCAAAAAATTCAACGGGCTTGACTTCAAGAGATGGCAGCAGAAGATGCACTTCTACCAAACCACCTTAGGTTTGGCAAAATATCTGAAGGACGATCCCCCTTTTGTTGCTGAAAATGAAACCAATGCTGAACTACGCGCTGCGTACGAAGCTTGGGGGCAAGGTGATTACCTTTGTCGGAACTATGTCCTGAATGGACTTAGTAATGAGTTGTATAATGTGTACAGCTCTGTTGATTCTGCCAAAGAGCTTTGGGCTGCCTTGGAGAAGAAGTACAAGACTAAAGATGCCGGGGCGAAGAAATTCGTCGTCGGAAAATTTCTTGACTTCAAGATGGTTGACACGAAGACTGTCGTGTCACAAGTGCAAGAGTTCCAACTGATCTTGCACGGTATCCATGCTGAAGAGATGACTTTGAGCGAGTCATTCCAAGTAGCGGCTGTGATCGAGAAGCTGCCGCCAGGCTGGAAGGACTTCAAGAACTATCTCAAGCACAAGAGAAAGGAAATGAGTCTTGAAGATCTGATAGTTCGTCTTCGTATCGAGGAGGACAACCAGAAGTCATCAGGAAAAGTCCCGATAATAGAAGCTCGTGCCAACTTGCTGGAGCAAGGCAACTCGAGCAAGAGGAAGACCTAGAACAAGAGAAAGTAGCCAGCCAAGGTTTAGAAGTTTACCGGAACTTGTTACAAATGTGGAAAACCAAACCATATGGCTAAAGACTGCAAGAGGCCAAAGAAAGGGCAAACGAGTGCCCTTGTTGCTGAACACGGTCCTGTGCTGGGTGAATTGACCGACTTTGATATGTCGGTTGTGGTGTTTGAAGCCAATTTGGTGGATAACCCAAGGGAGTTGTACATTGATATTGGTGTCACTCGTCATTTGTGTTCCGATAAGGAGGTGTTTTCTGAATACACTCCTACTATTGATCGTAAACTTCACATGGGAAACTCCTCTACGTCTGATGTGGCTGGAGTTGGCACAGTGGTGCTGAAGCTCACTTCTGGAAGGGAGTTGAAGCTGAAGGATGTTCTGCATGTCCCTGACATCCGCAAGAATTTGGTCTCCGGATCACTTCTTGTTGAGCATGGATTTAAGGTAGTGTTCGAAGCTAAGAAGTTCAT